GCTGTCACAGGGCTGCTTGGTTGGTCAGTGGGGAGTCGGCGCCTGCGTACTAAGACCCGTGTGCAGCAGCGGCGGCGGCGGTAGAGGCGGCGGCGGCGGCGGCAGCGGGCTCTGGGGCAGCGGTTGGGCTCGCCGCGAGTGAACGGGGTCGAGTCAGTGCATTCGCGCGAGGTGAGAGCGGGCAGGGCGCGCGTGCGCGGAACCTTGGCTTGGGCCTGGGAGTAGAGATGGAACTGCGCGAGGGTCGGGGAGGGGGCAGAGGGGATCGGCGGCCGCCGCCGCCGCACGAGATTCGATCTGCGAGCGGCGCGAGGTGCGGAGAGGCTCGGGCGCGCGACCCGGTTGGCGCGCGGGGTGACGGTTGGGGCTGGCCCGGTGACGTTGGAGCGACGCAGGGCGGGGGACGGCGAGCCGCGAGGCCGCCACGCGGGAAAGGCCGCCGGGCGGCCAAGCTGGGGCGAGGGCCGGGGGCAAGATCGGCCCGCCTGGGTAAGGGTACCTGGGACGTTGAGAACCGGGCGCCGCGCGGCCACGTGAGGTGGGGGAGGGGGCTATTCGGTGAGAGGGCATGTGGAGGGGAGGTTGGCGGCCGGCGGGGGGGAGGGGAGGCTGCGTGGCTCCGGCCTGGCGCGGCCTTTGAGGAGGGGGTGGCCGCAGTACCGGAAGTGCCCCCTATGAGAGGCTGCCCTTGGGGTCGGAGGCCGCATGGCCGAACGTGGACGGGGGCCGCATGGCAGCGCGGGGACCCCTCCCCCCAGGTCCCGGCCACCGGAAGCCCCGGGCGGCCACATGGTGGGCGGGAGCCGGCAACCCCCAGCGCGGAGAGAGGTGGTCTTCGCGGGCGCCTGAGGGAGTTTGGAATTTTGAGGAGTGGGAGAAGCCCGACGCCCTGATCTTGATCACCTCCGTGAGCCCGCTGTGGGCATATGTTAGCGCTCCCCCGCCTCATGGGCCCCTGTAGCTTTCTCCCCAATCCTCCTGTGAAGTGAGGCGGCCAGCCAGGGTGTAAGTGGCATTTGTCCGTGCTGGGACGCCAGAGAAAGTGGGAAACCGAGGGCGATTGGACGGGAGCCCAACTCTTATCGGTCGTCCCGACAGCGCTTTAAAGTCCCGGGCACATGAATTACCCATTTTGATAGGTGCTCTTCACCTTGTCACTGTCTTTCTCGTTGTGTCTGATATGGGAGTTCCTGGTTTTAGGGTCCTTAACTCTGCTAGCCTAGTATAATTTACACTACTCACTAACTACTACCAGCCTTTTGCTTTCATTTTATCGTCATTCACCACTCCCCACTCTCCCACTTTCTACTGACTGTACAGGCCCGGCCTGAAAAGCCGACAGGACCGGTGCATCCTGGGAAAAGTGGGAGGGCCCTTGAGGAGAGGCTGGGTTCCTGGGTTCCCTTTGGGAAAGCAGAGGTGTTTGGCAGGGAGATCAGTTAGAAAACAACTTTACTTTCTCCCCCTCGGCTGCGTCTGCAAATGCATGTTGGAGAGGCGGGAATCCCCCAAAGAGGCCTTGTGGTTTCCTGTACCAGTGACTGGCTCGTGTGTGGATAGGGTGTGGGGGGGTAACAGAGACGGGTGGGGCTCCCTGTCCTCCGGTCTCCACCCCTCCCCCCCCACATTAGCCCCGCCCTTTTGCTGGCTCATAGCTGCTCACCTAATTATAGCCCTGGTTATGTGTGGGGAAGAGGGGTGGTTGGTTTTCAGTGGCAAGCAACACCTGAGTCCTCCCCCTACCAGGAATTAGGCCTTTGCCCATCTCAGAGATTTGACATCCTGACTTCCTGGAGCTTTTTCTATCCCGGGCCACCCCTTTAGCTTTCATTTGGGGTGGGGAATCCTGCTTATCTCCCAACCGCCACACACATAGTATTTTTGATTCCAATCAGTATTTAATCTAGGAACCTTATTTTACGTGGGTAATGGAATAAAGTGCTGGGGAAAAAATGAAGCAGTGTTTCTAGAGTAGAGTGGGATAAATTGGAGACCCTATTCTATCCTTACTGACCCTCGTTCTCTTCTTGATTCTAGTTGGAATCGAAGCCTCTTAAAATGGCAGATGATTTGGACTTCGAGACAGGAGATGCAGGGGCCTCAGCCACCTTCCCGATGCAGTGCTCAGCATTACGTAAGAATGGCTTTGTGGTGCTCAAAGGCCGGCCATGTAAGATTGTGGAGATGTCAACCTCCAAGACTGGCAAGCACGGCCATGCCAAGGTTAGAATTTCATTTCCATATCTTGTCTTCCCCACCAGCTGTCATCAATGCTAGCCCCCTATCTTCTTTAGCTCTTTTATTACCGTCCAGTTCCTTGTGTTCAGCACTCAGCCCTGGACACCTTTTTCAACTACTACACCAGCCTTCAGCTTCCTCCTTGGTTACCCTTCTGTGCCCTGTCATCCTTGGAATCCCCCCTTTCTCCATCTTTGTGTGTCTCCAACTTCTCTTCGTGGTCCTTTATGCTCTGGCTCTTCAGCTGCTCCGTCACTTTTTCTGTTTGTCCATTTGAGTCTTTGTAGGTTCTCTTTGTTTCCATCACTTTGCCCAGGATTTCTCCAATCCTAACATCCCTCGGAGGGGCTCCAGTGTACACCTCTGATTTTCCAAATTGCTGCCCCACTCTCCAGTGCCAGCTCTCCCCTTGGATCTCTGATGCAGCATCAGAGTGTCTCTACCTGCCCCCTCTCCTGGAGCCTCCTTGCTTCCTTAGGTCCTAACATTTTTCTTATATCCCTCCTTGTAACTTTACTTTTTCTTTTTTCTCAAAAGTTCAACCTGATTCACCCTTTTTGGATTTCTTGTGGTTTTGTTCCCAAATCAGTTTTTCTGTCTTCTGTTGACTTGGCACATCCTGAGTTACCCCCAGATGTCTAGATCATTCTTTGTTCTTTCTGGTTTTCTTATTTCCTAAATGCATCGTTCTTTCTGTTCTCCCCCCAAGTCCTTTTTTCTTTTCAGCTCTCTTCTTTCTCATTCCTTCCTGTTTTCTCAGCTCTTTTCCTTCTACCTTCCTTATTTTCCAAGTCCTCAGCCTTTTATGCTGATGTCCAGAAAGCTTCTTCCAGACTTTCACCTAGACTCCTCCTGCTCCCCTAGGATCCTGGTCTCTCGATAATGTTTTGATAGCTCGAGGTGACTGCTCCAAGCCTGTCCTACAACCTTCCTGTGTGCTGTCAACTCCAGTCTCAGTGGTGGTCTTTTGGCCCCAGGCTCTTTTTAGAGGCTTTAGTGTTTCTTTCTTGAGTTGATTGGTTCAATTCCAGCTCCTCTAATCTTTGTCCTGACAACCTAGTCTGACTTCCCTCACTAGCCAGGGATAACTTGAGCCTTTATCTCCTCCATCCTAGAGTTTGGTTGGGTTTCTCTTTGATGTGATGCATGCATACAGGTCCATCTGGTTGGTATTGACATCTTTACTGGGAAGAAATATGAAGATATCTGCCCGTCAACTCATAATATGGATGTCCCCAACATCAAAAGGAACGATTTCCAGGTATGTAGATGGTCTGGATGTAGATGGGTTAGTGGTTTGTGGGAGGAAGATAAAGACTGGCGAGAAGACCTTGTGCTGAGAGAAGGGAGATTGGCAGGAGGAGAGGGTATTTGGTATTAGCAGTTTCCCACCCTAGTTTGCCCATCAGACCCTTTATCCTCAGGCTACTTGGGCCTACCTTCAGCTTCCTTCCCTGTCTGCCCCCAGCTGATTGGCATCCAGGATGGGTATCTATCACTGCTCCAAGACAGCGGGGAGGTGCGAGAGGACCTCCGTCTGCCTGAGGGAGATCTTGGCAAGGAGATTGAGCAGAAGTACGACTGTGGAGAAGAGATACTGGTATGGTGCCCCCCCTCTTTCTTTTATGCCCAGCCTTGTTCTTTGTGCTTCTTTCTCTGAGCTCAGACTTGACTACCCCCATGCTCCCCCAGATCACGGTGCTGTCTGCCATGACAGAGGAGGCAGCTGTTGCAATCAAGGCCATGGCAAAATAACTGGCTCCCAGGTGAGTGTGGTGACACCCCTCCCCCCAGCCCCCTTCACTCACTTTGTTATCTCCATGGAAGAGCTACTTTGGTCTTAATTGATTGTGGTGCTTGTTCCCTTCACCCTTTTTCCCTTTGAAGGTTTTATCTTGTCTCACCTGGTTTCTCTCTTCTACCCAGGGTGGCTGTGGTGGCAGCAGTGATCCTCCAGCCTGCAGAGGCCCCCTCCCCCAGCCTGGCCCAGCTCTGGCCCGGCCCTTGGCTGGACTCCTCCTACACAATTTATTTGACATTTTATTTTGGTTTCCCCTACACCCTCAATCTGTCGGGGAGCCCGTGCCCTTCACCCTGCTCCCTTGGCCAGGAGTGAGTGAACCATGGCCTTGGTGACGCTGCCCTCCTCTTCTCCCCTCGCACTACAGCCCTGGTGGGGGAGACCGGGTGGGTGCTGCTTGTGGTTTTTGTTTTTTTTTTTTTTGTTTTTCTTGTTTCAGAAAGTTGTGGATTCTGGCATGTGTTCCTTGTGCCCTTCCCCTACTCATCCCTGGTCTGGTCCCTTATTCCCCAATAGCCCTTTTTCCCAAGCACCACCCCCACAGACTGGGGACCAGCCCCCTCCCCTGCCTATGTCTCTCCCCAAATCCCTTTAGATGGGAAGGGAAGAGGAGGAGAGGGGAGGGGACCTGCCCCCTCCTCAGGCATCTGGGAGGGCCCTGCCCCCATGGGCTTCACCCTTTCCTGCGGGCTCTCTCCCCGACACATTTGTTAAAAATCAAACCTGAATAAAACTACAAGTTTAATATGAAGCCCCCAACTCAGCTGCTGCTTCGAAATAAATCGGTATTTGCTGACTAGAATGTCAATTTGGAAATCAGAAATAAGAGTATAGGTTGAACTCTGCCACTGAGCTCATTACAACCAACCTGCCGTCCCCCTGTGGTTCCTATGGACCTGCCAGCCACCCCTCACCCTCCTAGCAGCCCAGTGGGAGGCAACACAGATAGTCGCAGCCAGGGTCAGTGGCAGGTAGATTTTATTGGCCTGGGACTAGGACACACCAGGGATCCTCCCCCATGGCAGGGGCTGGGGGCAAGATTGAAGATCAAATCTGATGGTCACTTGTGGTAGAATCGCGGGTTCTGGCTGTGCTGGATGAAGGGGAGCCGAGGGCCAGGCTGGCTGGTGGTTGCAAAGCCCGACTGGCAGCGGTGATGAAAGGAGGGCTTTGTCAGCGTGCGAGCCCTCCCTTCTACTCCACGCCCAACTGAGAGCCATCCCGAGGGAGGAAGGGAATATGGGGGTGGGGACCACCTATCCTACCCAGTCCTGTGTCCCTGTCGTGTAGGGATTCTCACGGGCTGGATTACCACCCTTACCTTTCCTGCTGGTTGCATCTGCACAGGGAGCTGGGGTGAGGCCAGGAGTCCAGGGGCTGGATGCAGAGCTTGGGGATGCATGGGGCGCAGGGAGGACTGCAGAGAACAAAGTTAGCTGAGGCAACCTGCGGCTCCCCTTAGCATAGGTAGCCCTTCCCTGACCTCGCAAGGCTCTACTCACTGAGTCAGAGAAGCCCGTCTGTTGGTTAGCGTGTTCCATTTGTTTTTGCAAGGACAGGGCACCACCAGGCTGGAGGAACCCTAGGTGGGGAGGAAGGGTGTGAAGTGAGTAGAGAATGGGGAAAGGAAGGGAGGACCCGTGAAACTGGGCCCCTGCGTGGGGTGTCCGTCACCTGTCTGGGTGGGCTGAAAGTGGCTGTGCACGGCATAGGGCTGAGGCTGTGGCTGAGACAGGTACTGTACTGCAGGAAACGCGGAAGGTGCTGAGGAGGCAAGAGACAGTCACGAGAACCTCATCGTAGCCTGTTCCCCGCTCCCCCTCTGGGCCTTGAGGAAAGCTCTCTTCCTCTTTTCGCACTGCTCACCTCTGAGCTGCTGACTAGGACTGTAGGCAGGCTGTGTGGGCCCATAGTGAGGTGGGGGCTGAGCAGTGGCATAGGCGCCGCCCGGGCTGCCTTGGAATTGCCCATGCTCTGGGGTCCCTGCGAAAGCAGCTGCTGAGCCCACGTAGTGCCGGGTCTAAGGAGGAAAGATGAGAACTCACTGCCTGTGAACTCCATGAAGCAAAAACTCAAGTGACTGCCCCATTTCCTCTACACAGTTTGGTGGGACACACCCATGACTTGAGTGCTGGCTGGTAAGCGTGCTGGGGTCTGGGTGGTAGTAGTAGGGAAAAAACTTCAGCCTAGACACCCATTTCTACTGTTCTTACCGTAAGCACTTGGGGTCCAAACATCTGTTTGGCTCTGTCTGCTGCCATGAGGGTGCCTGGGCGATTGTGTCCTCCAGGGCTCCCTAGAGAGGGAGAGGGGCTTCGTGATGCTGAAATGAGGCAGCAACCTACTGGAAGGGGCATTCTGACAAGCAGTTTCTTCAATCCTCACCCTGCATGCTGAGGAGGTGAGTTCCAGTGTGAACGGTCAGGCCTTGCTGGTATGCCGCTGATGTCAGAGTGGTCAGGTCACTGGAGGGACAGGAAGGCAGATCAAAGACAAGTCCGACCCATGCCGTTCCCACCCCCCTCCCCGTTCCATTTGCCATTAAACACTGATGTATTGTTACCTAATCCCAGTTACACTTTGGGCCCAATTTTATTTTTAGCTCTCTAATCTCACCTCTGCTCTTTTCGCCTCCGTTTTTCCTCCTCATGTAAAACTTTCTTGAGCTGCAGGAAAAGCTGATGTTTCTCTTCCTGTAGGGCTAAAAGCTTCTCCTGCAACTTCAGGATCTGGGGAGGGGAGAGAAGGTGAAGGCAGGAGAGCCAAGAGAAGAAAGAGCTAGGAGAGATGAAGAGACTGCTTACTTGTTCCTTGGTTTCCTCTAGTGACATTCTCTCTTCCATCTCCTTTTTCTTTCTTCTCTCCTGCTCTTCCTTCATCTTCTGTTCCATCATCTTGTCCACCTCTTCCTCCTCTGGAATAAGAGTCAGGCAGAACGAGAAAGTGGCAGGATGGTTAAACTATTAGAATGTTAGAGAATGAAGACCGGCAAAAATTGGTTATCCCAGTGCTCTTGATACTTGCTCCAGTACCAAGAGCACTAGGAGGGGACAGGCTTCCCCATCACTGCGAGGGGGCTGGGGCGGGGAGGTTTATTAGGTGCTCTCCAAGGTCCTTCCCAGCTCCAGGGCGCTGGAGTTTAGATGTGGCCTCTAATCCCCACCACAACGGGGCTGTCCGTCCCTCTAGCTTCGGCCGCCGTGCACTGGTCTGCCCGTGGGTGGGTGGGGTCAGCCCTGGGAGAGCGGTGCTCCCCGGGCCGTGCATCCTCCCGCTTTGGCCCCGTCTCACCCTGCCGCTTGCGCTCCCGCTCCATCATGATGTGCCGGTGCAACGCCCTGGCCATGGCGTTGGAAAGCTTGGGGCGCTCCAGGAGCGCAGGCATGGTGCTGCCGGGGGCGCTCGGGCCGTGGGCGCCCGGCTCTGTCGCTGGCTGCCAGACCTCGGGCCGGGCCTACGGGGAGGCGGGCGCTCAGGGGGAGTGCGCCGGGCCGGGCGGAAGCCGCCCGCCCGCCGCCCCGGTCACGTGCCCACCAACCGGCCCGGCCCTCAGCGCGGCTCCTCCGCGTGCGCGGGCGGGGGTCTTGGCGCTCCCGCCCCCTGCCCGCCACCCGGGCGCCCGCCCCTCCCTACCCGCCTTCTCGTCGCTTTCTCCGCGGCCTCCCGAGCGCCTGGGCCGTGGCGTCACATCCGGCCGCTCGGCCGAGTCCTTCCGGAGTCGGGGCGGCCACGGGCTCGCGGGTTGGGCGGGGCGGGGCGGTGGGGCGGGGCAGGCGGTAGCGTCCGCGACGGGTACCCGCGGTGTCCAAACGCCTCCGCGGCGCCCCGGCCGCGTACCGCGAAACGCCCCTACCGGGCCGGCCCCGCGGGCGGAGTCCCTGACGTGGCGGGGCCAGGGCTCCTCCGGGAGACGAGAGGCGCGCGCGAGAGAGGCCGAGGCGGCTGCTCTGAGACGGCGTTTATTGGCTCCTTAGAAATCAGAGTCAGTAACAACTGTACAGAGGCCCGACCCCCGGCGCCGCCTTCCCCACTCCCGCCTGGGCCGGAAAAGCAGCTTCATGTGGGGCACCGGGAGACTCCTCTGGAATTCACAGTAACCAGAACAGAAACGGAAATAAATTAAGTGTATGGGGGAGGAGTCGCGGGGAGTCGTGCTCCCCAGATCAGTGCATGGAGAGGGTTCCCCAGGGCCTGCGGCCGGGCTCCCCGCTGCGCCTTCACCTCGGAGGGAGGGACTGTCCGGGCCCTGGGCACGGAGACATCTCCGCTTCCCAGCTAGTCTGAGAGTCTGCCCGCATGCTCCTGTGCATCTGCCAGGCTGAGCACTCAGCGTGCCGTGGGTCGCTGGAGTGAGGTGGTGGCAGTCGTCATTCAGAGTCCACGGGCCGAGGCCCAACTGTGCTTGTAGTGGTGCGGCCTCACCCCTCACTCCACCCGTACCAGCAGGGCATAGAGAAGTGTGGCCCCCTTCTCCTTGGTTACCCACTCAAGTTCGGCTGGGCTGAAGTGAGGGTCGGGAGGCTCTCTGAGGGCAGCGGAAGGGGGTCCGGGGGTGTAGGAGCCAGGGCGCACACACACCTGGAATGCCACCTGGGCCTGGTGTGTCTGCTGGGATTTGGGGTCCCGGAATCTGTCAGGCAAGAAGCATAAGTAGGGCAGTGAGACCTCTGGGCCCAGGACCTCTCCCCCTTTCCAGCTGCCACCACGACAGTTAGCAGCTGGCCTTGCTGTTCTCAGGAATCACTCTCTCCGTACAGGGACCTGGCTCTAGCCGTCCTCTCTACTTGAAATGGCCTTCCTCCCAATGCCTGCTCGCCTAACTCCCTCCTGCCTTCTCCAAGTCTTTGCTCAGATCTCACCTTCTTAATGATGTCTACCCGGACCACCCTATACCATACGCCCGCTCCAACCACACTTCTGACCCGCTTCACTCACTCTTTTTGTTTCCATAGTACTTACTTGTCACCTTTAAAAATACTAAATACTTATTATGCATAAACATTCTAGAGCAAGAAAGGGCATAACTTCCACATGCCCAGGGTTCCCTTCTTTGTTCTCTGTGATAGGACAAAATAAGTGGTACTTGTGCAAAGACTGTGTGAAGAAAGGGCTGGGTAGAGACTGAGGAACTAGGGAGACAAGGTGGCAGAGGAGAGGGAATCATGGCGACCCGTGCGGCCCCAGGCCCCGCTTCCTGTGTACTCACTGCACTTTGGATGCCAGGGCCTCAGCCCCAGCATACTGGAGGGAGGGGGAAAGCAGCACTGGTGGGGGCTGCTGCTCCCGAGGAGGCGCGCAGTTCTCGCCAGGCTCCTCAAAGCCCAGCCCAGGCTCTCCCTTCAAGGGCCGGCAGCTCAGGATGGAAGCAGTGCCTGTGAGGAGAGCTGGGTCAGGGCGGCCCCCCCATGGCCCACGGGCCCGGCCTGCCCGGCCTCTGCCGGTGCCGCGGTACCTGCTCCCAGCTCCCCCCGGTCCAGCACCCTCCGGACGGCTGCCACGTTGCTCCCATGATACGCCATGTGCCACTTCTTGGTTAGTGTCCCAGCCTCCAGGCGGGGATTCACCCTAGGAGGTGGACAGACAGGACAAAGGTCACTGGCTCCCCGAGGTCATTCCCCAGACAAGAAGTTTTGTCTTCTACCATACACCCTCTCGGGACCTCCCTTTCTCAAGGGGCAAAGAACAGTGAGAGAGAAGCATGACCCTGCCCCATATGTACCTGAGGTTGAACCTGCACCAGCCAAAGGGCAGAGCGTATTCCCGCGGGGGCTCCCCACGGCGCCTGTGGGCCTCATCCCCTCGAAGCTTCCGGCAAGACTCACAGTAGCACAGGCTGCGCTTCGGCGGAGGCATGAAATAATCCTCTGTGGAGAGTGAGTGGTAGACTTTGTGGCATGGCTCCCGCCCTGGGTCTCAGCCATATGGCCTATTTCCTACTGGTCTTCAGGGCTCCGGCCATGGCCCTGGGCTGGGCCGGGAATGAGGCAGGTTCTGGGGGACTGGGGACTCACCAGGAAGCAGCAGCAGTTCCTGGAAACGGGAGCAAAGGGCGTGGTACTCACAGCTCTTGAGGGGGCTAGCAGTGGGCGGTGGACCCCAGCACACACTCTCCTTGATACCTGAGGGAGCAGAAGGGGCACAGGTCACGGGAGCTGGGGCCAGAAGTACGAGGTGGGGGTGAGGTGGGATCCTGGCCCCTTCGGCTGGCTCACCATCCACCATGTCAGCTTTCTCCATGTCCCCTTGGGTTCCAGCACTCTTTCCACTGGCAGCCCCTGGTTCAGGGGTCACGATTGTCACCTGCAGGGGAGAGGGGTGGTCAGCCAGAGTGTGACCAGATCCCCTCCTTGAACTCCAGACTTCCCCTGTCCTCGGACAGCCCAGCCTCCCAGGCACCACTCCTCCCCGCCTCTGCTGCCACTAACCTGCTCACACTGCCCGTAGAGGTCCACGAGCGCGTGGCAGGGCTGGGGGACATCTGGCACAGCCACTCCCTGGTCCATCCCATTGATGTGGAGATGCAGCCCCCCAGAGCTGTCTAGCCGCAGTCCCAGGATGGTGCCTTCAGGACACGTGTCCAGATTTGGCCCAAACTTCTCACAGATCTGGGAGGAGAGACCTACTGTCTTCCCAGAGATCAGACTCCCACCGGCAGCAGCCACCCCTGCCCTTCACTAAGCTTCAGGTTGCCAGTCCCTGGGCTTTGCCTCCACACTTGCCCACTGCCCAGGCTCTGCCCCTGCTTCAGTTACCTAGACTCCACCTCCCCCAGCCCCACCCCCCGCAACATTCTCCACAGCAGGGATGTAGGAGACGATGAGCCCGAGACTGACCAGGTAACGCCGCTCACACCCTTGCCCATCCACTACAGGATGCCTTTATACCTACGGTCCTAGCTCCAGGGCTAGGGGCCCCTCTTCTCCCTCTCGGCCAGCCCCTCACCCTTCTCTCTGCTCCCTACCCACCTTGAGACCGTTGTGGAAGACCCCACGGCCCCGCAGCAGCCAGGCCGCCCGTTTGAGGGCACAGGCAGAAGCAGGGAAGTTGAGCCTCTCCGGTGGGCAGGTAATGACTCCCAGGACAAGGGAAGATGTCCACTGCCGGTTCAAGAAGTCTATCCGTACCTGGGGAGAAGGCAACCACTCCACAATCATGGCCTCCTACAAAGAGGTCACCCACCCTGCAGGACCGGGCTCCTCACCCCAGCCAGGGAGAGAAGATGGCACCCCACAGTGTGGCCTGGGATGCCACCCCTTCTGATGCCTGGACGGACAGGAAACTGCAAATTCAGCTGTGTCCTTCCCTCTTTCAGCCTTGGTCTTGCTATTGCTTCTAAAAGGATTCTTGTCCCCACGGGCTTTCTTCACCTGCCTAACTCTGACAACTTGTAGTCTGCAGCATAAGACCCCCTCCTCTGGAAAGCATACCCTGTTCCCACATACAGAATCAGGAGTCTCCCTGGCATCCCTCAGCCCCTCTCCACTGCTTCCCTCGTCACAGGCCCCAGCTGGGTACTTCCTGGAAACTGATATACAACTGCCACCACAGGATATGAACAAAAGCCCAGGAAGCTCACCCAAAGGGCATGCCTTCCACTTTGTCCTCAACCTGGAAAAGCCTCTCTGCAGGAGGGTTGGCCCTGGGTCACCCTGAGCAAGAGGAGCCGGGGACAAGGAGGTGAGGCCCACCTGGACCAGCAGCTGGGGCACCAGGGGCTGGCTGATGACAACGATGCCCTGGTTGTAGCTGGCCACTCGTGTAGCTGTACGGTTCCCGTTGGACAAGAGAATATTCTTCCCATGGTTCTCTAGGAACTCGAGGGCTGTGGGCATAACGGCCACTTGATTCTGGCCCTGGTGTGGAGGAGAGAGCGAGCTGCGGGGCGGCCGACGCGAGGCCTGAGCCACCCCACTGGGCTTGACAGAGCCTGCAGATAAGCCTCCGCCCACCCAGGGCTGGATCAGAGAACCTGAAGACGACCCAACGGGCCACCAACGGTCCCTCCCTGTGCCCAGTGGGCCCTGCTGCTGCCTCTTACTTCCAGGCCGTGCTCCTCGCCCTCATCCTCCTCCTCGCCCTCGCTGCCAGTGTCTGAGCTGGGGGAAGGAGGCTGGGTGCCTTCTGGCTCGTCCAGCCTGGTGGAGCTGACAATAGAAACACTCCGCACTGGCCCATACAGATCCAACACGGCCCACACGCTCTGGGGGCACACAGACCCAGAAGTCAGCGATCAGTGGAGGACCTCAACCCCACTCCCAGACCCAATGCTGGTCTTGGGTCTACCTTGGCAATGCCGGTGGCTGCAGGCCCCATATCCTCTCCATCTACCAGGACGTGCATCGTGTCATCTGCCCCTCGGCGAATGCCCACACGGCTCCCCACCTAGGGCCAAGGTGAGGCAAGGACAAGTGCTCAGCCCACCTCTCCCCGCCACCCCGACTCCCACGCCCACCCCGGTCCCTGAAGTCAGCTGCTTCACCCCCAGCCTCTCGAGGTTCCGGCCATAGTTCATCCTCTGGAGCTGCCCGTCGCGCCTCAC